ACGAAAGAAAGCAGGGTGCCATCATAGTAGATTGCCACGTTAGAAGGTTTCATTAGATCAAGTGGCAAACAGAAAATGTTGACATCAGAGCCAGGCAGACTCAGTGAAGACCATGGCCATGGGGAGGTGTGTGAATAGTGTGTGGCACCATGGGCTTACCACGCTGGGTAACACAAACCTTGATGACGCATTTATTCTCTCATCATACACAACCCCCCTCCCTTCTCCTCTGGATCAGGCGGAATTAGATTTGGCCAATATCGTTAATAAGGAGAGTCGATTATTATAAAAAGGTAGAGTCAATTATGATATAAAAGTAGAATCGATTATGATAAAAAAGAAGAATCGATTATTATATGAAAGTAGAATCGATTTTGATCTGAAAGTAGAGTTTATTCCTTTTGGTTAAAATAAGACCAATACAAACTCTCGGTATGTAAAATAATTTTATTTGAAATCGTCAAATAGTTCTGGAAACCACTAAGTCGTGTCTGTGGATTTCTGGGCTCAACACCGAGAAAAGCATTTGTCTTTTTTTTTTAAACATTCAACAACGTCCAATAGCTTTGGAAAGTGACGTGAAAGTTTGTAAACGTTTAGCTTTTATCCACCAGATGAATGAAACAATAACTTAAAGACATCAGGTACTCTTACAAATATACACAAGACCGCGGTAGCAACCTTGACTTTGATGGTGTAGTTTTTGTTTTAAAATGTATAAGTAGCTTAACTTTTGCACAGCCGATCCAGGTTGCCCTTATAGAAATAACTTTAATTTGACGTCTGAAATAAGACGGACAAATGTACAGGGAAACAAAGACATTGAATGAAATAATACTAGCACTCGTTAGACTTGACATGTCAGCAAGACGATGACCATCTCTGAACAACGCATTGCCCTCTCTATAATTATTTTAAAATTGTATATATGATATAGTTTGAAAAACTGACAATGAAAACAATCATTAAATGTAGATAAAAAAATTAGATTTACAAAATTTGCAATCAAATCGGAATATCTCAGATATGGATGTGAAGAAATACTTTATTTTGTACATTATATGCTGGCATGCAAAAAATCACAACTGAAATTTCTTACATTTTACACTCAAATCAAGGTCTGGTTTTTGTTTCCTAATATGGTACCAAGTAATTTCTCTTCAAATTTTGCTGAATATATAGGCCTACCAGTAAGTGTTTTACTGGAGAGAGAAGTTTTTCTAAACTAAAATTGATTAAAACATAAATAAGAGCATCTATAATTTATGACTAAAAAGGCTCACATCATTGGCTATGCATCAATATGACGTCTATTGGGGTTTCGTACAAAAGATACCCCCCCCCCCACAAAAAAAATGTAAAGGGGGGGGGGTTGATAAAGGCAGACCTGTTTACCCTCAAACTCTTAAAATCGTGCAATATCATCACAAAGTCATTTAATACGCTATATTCATTTTAAAAAAAAAAACATACAGTATATACAATCTATACACCTTAAAATCATACATTGTACACAAAAATTGTCAGAGTAAACAGGTCTGATAAATGGTCTCTCCGGCATTTGAAACATAGCACTTTATTTGTTATATTTTGCTTTAAGCCAACTGATTTTATTTTAGTATGTTTAAATTTGGGACGTCCGCTATGTCGGATCTATGTTCAATAGATGTGTAATCTTATATTCTTAAAACACAGGGAAGTTTTAAACTAGTCTGTGAGAGGTCACTCTAAATATTTAGTGACTATTTTTCAACACATGTAAACAATGCGGCTATTTTGGTTTTTAAAACATTCCTCTAATTCTCTGGTCTTTAACCTAAGATTTATATTATCAGTATTATTTAGAAGTTTAAATCTAGTGGCTAGTGGCTCTTAAATATGAAGAATCGTCATTATACGTCTGTCATTGACAGTTAAAATAAACCTGAAAATGTGTAGGAAGTAAAATTTAGAACCGCCTAGGGCGCCAAAATGGCTAAGGTCAGCCCTTTATATAATATATAAACAAACACGGGAATGTGAATTTTAATAGCCACCCTAGAGACATTTAGATTCAAGATAGAATGAGTCTCAACGAAATTATGAAAACAAGGGAGATAATACGATGGAAACTACCTTGAAAAAATGGACGGCTTGCCTATCTTGAAAATTTCAAAGTACAGAAGGCCTACTGAAGTCAATTTTTCTATCGTGTGATGCGTGATGGGGCTTTGATGGGACATCTAGGGTGCACTTCCACTAATAACCTACAACTGAAACGCCAAACCTGACACGCAGCAAAATATTTTGTTATATTTAAATATATATTATGTAGTTCATGTGTTCTTAAATTTATATGGTCAACCATTCAAGATCATTTGCGGTTTTAGCTTACACAGTGTGTGTGAGTAAGGCTACCACTCACTTTTACCACCCTACCTCCGCTTCTTATTGTGTCCATAAATTGTCCATTGTCAATAAATTCCGCTACGGCAATGTTTTCAAACAGTTATACAAATTTTAACTAATTTAGTTTGGAGTGTAAACTTATTTAATTCAAAAAGCTGTTGCAGCTTTCATTAAGTTGTAAAGAGGCATATCACCGCAGAGTCGATCAACAATTTAGTCATCCTATTCATCATAATATATATTTTTAAAAATCCGTAAATTTAAGTATTTAAATTTTTTTTGGAATCAAAAATTTCGCGCTCGATGCATTCGCCTGCTTTGCCTGTACCAAAAGCTGGCCGTGCCGCACACTTGACTAAAAATGTACTTTATTCAGTTTATATCTCTACGTTCGCAGTGTCGAAAATATTTACTGCTCGGTCCTAAAAATAAGGTTCGGCAACCTCTGGGATAGAAGACTGGGGGATTTTGACGCTACACACCAAATGTGTTTATGTATTAATAACTATTAAAAATAAGGAGGATTTTGTAATGAAACAGGTTTGGTGACCTCCAATATCTATCTGCAATGGTTCTCAATTGATGTACATACGGTGGTGGTGGTCGATGAAGGAATATTTGTGCACGCAAGATATCTGTAGTTTGCAATTTACAATTTAGTTTTTTTTTTTTTTAATTTTTTTTTTTTTTTTTTTTTAAATTGGATTAAAAATCAGGGTCTGGGTTTGCATGATGTCCCATACTATTTTGAATTACATTTATATGAGTATATTTTATCATATTCCGTTAAAAGAAGTAAGCAATTCAAGAGTAATTTAATATACAGTCGACCCCGCTTATCTTGACCTCGGTTAACTCGCCAACCCTGTTATGTCGATGATTTTGAAGTGGAACCGCCAAATTCTCTTTTTTTTCTGATCATTTTCTCCTCAGTTATGTTATTTCTTTTATGTCGCCGAACCCTGATATCTTGAGTCAAGTCAATTGAGCACAAAAGGCGGCCACATTTGTCATTTAACCTCGGTTATCCGGAGCCCCATGACCAATCGCCGGTTTTGAAAATTATATACAAACGAAACGTGCCTCCTTCTAACTGGTTGATTTTTTTTTTTTAAACCCCAGAATCCGTATTGGAAGAAACTGAACTGGTGAATCCGGAGCGAGAGAAAATAAAAACTTGCGAATCCGGAGTTGAAAAATATTTAGCCTCACGAATCCGGAATTCCGGGATAATCCGGAAAAGTGGCACCTCACATATTGTTTTTGTTGTTAGCAGACACGAATTGAACATTTTATTTATAGCATGCCGATCTCTTCATCAAACAAATCGCGGTAACGCTGTTGTGTGAGAAAACCTCCAAAAAACACGTACATGTAGGATCTCATTTATAAACGCACATCGTTCACATAAAGATATTTCAAGCACATGTTAATATATTGCTGCCATATTAATTTTCGTTTATCTTTATCATCGGTTATCTCGATGATTTTTGGCAAAGGGGCCATCGATAAAGTACGTCACGCTATTTTTGACCATTTTTACCCCCCCCCCAACCCCTGCCACAAACTTCACACTTTCTTTCAACCCCCCCCCCCTCTTGAGAGTGACGTACTTTAATGGATGGCCCCAAACCCGAGGCCATCGACATAACCGGGTTCTACTGTATCACTTTCTCTAATCACTCTTGTTCATTACTACACAGGGGATCAAAAAATTTTCCATTCTGGCAAGATGACATCACTAAAAATGCAGCGCTTTCATGCGCTTATAACTTACCGGTATTAAAAAAAATAATAATAATAATAATTACATATATTTCTCATAATTTTAATAAATTAACTTTCAACTATCATGAATGCATTTTCCTATATCGATTGGCACCGTGGCGTGTTAGTGTTATAATTTTTCTTTAAAGGTAAAGAAGAAAATATATGTGTTAAAAAAAAAATAAAAATAAATAAAAAAAAGTAAAAAAAAGAATGATCAGCGCGTCGCAATCTTTTGTTTGGAAGGACCATCATTAATAATCTATAATTCCACATTGCAGTATTGGCTATTGCCCGATTTATTTCTTGTTGTTATTATTATTTAAAAAATTTTTTTTTTTCCATTTTCACATTTTTGAACTGATGACTGCAGTAACCCCACTTTATTAGCACCATTATACACTGATCCCACTAATTACACATATGCCCCACTTTATAAGTATAAGTCAGGAAAAGCCCCTTATGTAACTGTTTTTATAGCTACTGAAAAGCAGCTACAAAGTTTCCTATTTAAAATTTAAAATATTAAGTAATCCATAGTTGTCAGTGAAAATGTTTTCTTTAAAATGAAAAGAGAAAGAAATTAAAACGCTGTTACGTTCATTGCAATTACATGTGTATATGATTAAAGTGTAAAGTTTATTAACGCTGTTGGTGATAAATATGTTATGAAATGATGATGGTACTTTTTAGATTCATTGTTAAAGATTTTAAAATAATTAATTTTATTGTATTTAAAAAAAAAAAATACACAATGACATCCAAAGTAATCTGACTGTTCAATTTACCTCCCACGTATTAAAGCAAGCGGAAGTTGTGATTCCGTCATAGATCCGTTCCTCTGCACTAAGAGAAGGAAGTGACATTTACTTTACACATTACACACATCTTCAGCTTAGAACATTGAATTTTTTTCCTTTTGAAATAAACCGTTAAATATGTTTATCTCCCTAAATCAACATCGCATGTAGGTAGCTAGGTATGTACAAAGGGTAAGCGGAAAAAATATGGTATTACTTTAAAAAAAAAATAAGTTTTAAAAATATGAAAATTATTAGGCTAGGCTAGGTTCAGAATCTGAACCTTGACAGTTGTGATGATATGTGTGACTGTGACTAACATTCTCACCGGACCTGACTTCATTCATTCAGATGTAATTTGTTAATTTTAAAATAACTCTTTTTAAAGAGGTGTACTATTTTGGATAGTGATATCTTGGCCTATAAGAAAAACAATACCTCTTTAATCTTTAAGTCTTAAAGTTAAAGCTAGTTGACTTTAGAAAGTGTTGCCATGGCCATGGTGTAATATTTTGTATAGTAGAAACTCTTAGTCTTAGTAGTAGCAGAAGGCTGCTTATTATGACTCAAGAACTGGTGACTATGGATGGTAGTAGTTATATTGGGTAGGCTGTAACTGTAGATCATTTGTCATTACTTTTAATGAGCTATACCACTAAATTTTAAATAGTAAATCATTATACATAGTCATAGAATGTCATAGACTATTTAACTATTTAAATTTAGTATTTAGCATCTTTTTAGAGCCATGGGGATGGGTGGGAAACCTCTTTGTATGTGTGGTGTGTCTGCTACTGTGTACTTCTTTTATCAGTAACAAAATTTCTTTGTTTCACATTTCAGTTGATAAACTGAACCAATATTTTGGAAACATGGACTTACTATATAATACTATAGGCTATACTAAACTAGTATGTACTAAAATTGTAAAATACTCATAGATCATGGCTTTTAACTTAAAATTTAAATAAATGACGTCATGCAAATTTGGCTGATTTTTACCCTTCCCCGTCATCACAAATCTTCACAAAAAGTTAGACTCTCCCCCCCCCCCCTCCAATGTACATCACAAACATAAAAAAATCCATCTGACCATTACTGTCCTTTACAAACCCTTACAAAAATTACCTCCCATGGATATTGAATTACTGCAAATGTGTCATTACCCTATAACAGTGGTTCCTAAACAAGGGTGAAAGTGCAGAAGACACAACAAATAAACTTCATTGGCTGCCATTGCCAGTTGTTTCTACCAGCAGTTAATTTTTTTCTTCTGGTGAATTTCGTTTACGCATTACTGGTATTGGTAATATTTTTCTTGCATCTAGAAAGTTAATTTGACAAATAAAATGACAATAAATAAATTATTTTCATTTTAAAATTTTATTGTAGTGGACAGAGGGATTTTTTTTATATGGGGGGAGGGAGGAGAGTGCAGCGGTTTGTGTCATTATATTTTAGGGGGTCTAACTTGTTTGGGGAAGGGGGTGTAAAAAATATGCGTGGCATCATTTATGGATGGCCCCTATGCTGTAACAACTATGAGTTTTGACAGTTGGAAAAAATAATTGGTGTGCAAACATTGGCTTGTGTGCCACGAGTTGCCTATCCCAACTCTAGCATCTAGTATACTTTGCCATTAGGTGCACATACTAGAGATCATAAATTAACTTGTTTTCTTTTTTAAGGTGCCTTGAGCTCAGCATGATATGCCACACTATCATCTGAGTTAAGTTTGAGGATTGAATTAAATAGCATTACTTGTAGAATCTCTTAAAGTTCTTGTAAAACTAATAAAATGCCTGCAATTCGAAGAACATTGAAAAATGTGGTGAAGAACTACTCAGATGCCCAGGTGAAAGTTAGAGAAGCTACTTCAAATGATCCATGGGGTCCATCAAGTACCCTCATGAGTGAAATTGCTGACTTGACGTACAATGTGGTGGCGTTCACAGAAATAATGCAGATGATCTGGAAACGCCTTAACGATGATGGAAAAAATTGGCGGCATGTCTATAAATCAATGGTTGTTCTGGACTACATTATTAAAACTGGAAGTGAAAAGGTAAGAGAAGTTTTTAAAAAACAACAGTGAGCTTGAGTATTTTTTAATTTCTAAAATTTGTATGTTAACCAGAAGATCATATATATCTTCACATAAAAATGAGAGATAAAGGCAATGATTCCACACACTAAACTTGCACAGATCTTGAGCAGCTTCGATATTTACATGTCTAGATTTCATTATTTAACCCTTAACAGTCCAAACCTATTCAGCCTTGTCTACTCCCAGCGCCCAAGCAAGGGGACATAACTCCATTTTAAATGAAGGTTCTTTATCTAATTAATTTACAGAAAATAAACTAGAAGCAAGAAAATAAAGTAAAAAATACCTAAATACAAATAAATGATTTAAATTTAAGCAAAATTTGAAACCTAAAAAGAGTTTCAGGGACCCTCCTGACTCCTACTTTGATTTCTGAAACATTCCCAGACCACTCATGATCTTGCTGATCAGTTGGACTGGAATTGATGGGTCCGTTGTCATCCATGGCTCTATTATTACTATTATCTTCTTCACTTGAATATCTATTACAAGTAGCATCATTTAAATTAATGTCTCTATCAGATTCTTGGCTATCGCTGCTAGACTCATGAAATAGTGAAGCTTCATTAGGTCTAAGTTCTTTCAAAATTGTATCCAAGGCTTGGAAAGCCATTTTTACAGCGAAAAAATCACAACTTTAAAAAAAATAGTAGAAAATGAGCCCATAAACACACCGCGGTCAAACTAGTATCAAAATAAATGCTGACAATGAGGCTGTCTTCCGTAGAACTTAATGCGCAATGGATTTCTGCTGTGCTGAAAACGAAAGTAAACAATCTCGAAACAGGCGGTTTGGCCGCAATGGACTGTAGGCTTAAGGAAAAATTGGCACATTTCGGGCGCATTGGACTGTAAAGGGTTAATATGTTGATGAAAAAGCAATAATAATTTTAAAAGCGATAATAATTTTTGTGTTTTAAATACCAGAATTTAAAGTAAGGTAAATTTTTAGTTTTTTTTTCCCATTCTTTAAGGCAGTGGTTTCCAACCTTGATGACCAGAGGAACCCTTTTCTGAAACAATTTCTGAGGGTAGCTCCTTTGACCTTCCCTGTGTCTTTGAAGTTAATGGTGTTAGGGATTAGTATCACTGGGGGAGGGAGCGGCGTGGAGTCCCTGAGAAGTCCATGCTGAGTACTTAGAGCTCATTGTAGCACAGGTTCGAACCACTGCCATTAGGAGTTTTTTAATTTGATTTGGTTGTGGGAGTGTTTCTCAGGGACCCTACAAGTCCTAAACTAATCCTTGGTGTTTTATCTAATCACTTTAGGTTGCGCAACAGTGTAAGGAGAATTTTCACGCCATAAAAACTCTGGTCAGCTTCCAGTACACTGATGCTGACAATAAAGATCAAGGAGTGAATGTGCGGGAGAAAGCCAAACAGTTAGTAGCTATGTTGTCAGATGATGAAAGGTTAAAAAATGAAAGAGCCAAAGCCCTCAAGGCTAAAGAGAGATTTGCACAGAATGCTATGGGTGTGGGCAACGGTCATGGCACTACCAGTAGATCTCGTGTAAGTAATAGGAATGGATATGTTTGCTTCATTTATTTAAATATTGACTTTGGAAATCCACTTAAAGGCAACTCTTTGAATAAGCATGTATAAATAATAAAATTGTAACATTTTTCTAATTGTAAATAACTGTTTAAAAAAGAAATTAAGTTGTTTTTGTTTGTTTTAAAGATGCGGCTTGGTGGAAGTCCACCCATGGGGGCAGGTTATCAAGATTCATATGGCTACCCAGATTGTAAGTATGCAGCATCTTGTCTATTTAAACTTTGCTTTCTAAAAATAAAATGTAATAGTTTAAAAGAATGACCAAAATATACTCAAATGGGAATTTTCTCCTCACAAGTAAAAAATAAAAATTTGAACCTAAAATAATAACCATACTTATTGGCATATAACATGCCCCCCGCGCATAATACTCACCTCAATTTAAGAAGGAAATTTCAGGAAAAAAAACGAAACATTGTATCGGCATATAACACGCACACATTATTTGCACCCTATTTTCGGGGAGAAAAGGTGCATGTTATATGCCAATAGCTACGGTAATTAAAATAAAGTGAAATGACTAATATTTTTAAATAATAGTTTCATTACCATAGAATAAAGATTTACATTTATGGGTTAACCTTTATTATTTGATATACTTTATTACTAAAAGATTAAGTAATAAAGCTAAATCCATACAAATCTTATAGTAATTTTTAAAAGTTAGCAGAACATGGAGAAACATAAGGTGTGAATTCTATAGATGGGTGGATTGAAGCTAGAAAATTGTCCCTTATTATATTAGTGTTTATGCCATTTCTGATGTAATTCTTATAGAATTCATTCTGATTTGTTGTAAATGTGGTCTATACCAATATACTCAACGGAACCCATGATGAGACTATATTACTTGGATGTCATTTCAGTACCTAAAGCTACACATCTAACTTGGTAAAAAAAAATTGTCAGAAATAATTTAGAAGACTGCTATCTAGCTAGATAAGAAAATATGGAACAAAAGAAAAGGAAATTGTTGCCAAAAGCTATCTACGATGAAGAAACAAAATATGAATACAAAAATAAATTTAGCTCGGAGTATGAAACTGTGTCTGGTCTGAAAAGAAACTAAGAAGTGTGGATTTGATCAGTTTTCTTCTTGTTCTTCAGTCTAGAAACAGCTTCCTACTGCATGAGCTAATTTTTAAAAAAAAAACTTATTTTGTTTGTTCAATGAAAGAGGCTTTTTACAAAATGATTGTCATTTTTATGGGTTTTTTTCAAAGTTTTTTCTTGTGTACCACATCTCGTTGAAAAATCTGCCGTTAGATTCAATAGAAATTAGGAATTTTGATGGTTTCTGATGTTACTGCTGAAAATGTAATGTGCAAATAGGTGGAATTAGAGAATTAGGGAGTTGTGATTCTGATTTTATGTACCGGTATTCAAAGTGTTTTTGATGATGATATTATTTTGTGGATTATTGTGGCCTTTGAGTGTTAAAGCAGTGGTCGCCAACTAGTGGGCTGCGATAAAATGTTGGTGTTCTGAATAAAAATCTAGACATTATTTGCATGTTACTTACCAAACTTTTCACCCTGCGCAAGAAGTCATATTTTTCCATCAACAAAATAATCAGATACTTCAATAACTCTTTTTTGACATGAAGTTTTTAGCCCAGCTTGCATAAATGGAAGAATTTTTTCATTGTTAAATGAGCTAAACGTATCCTTGCAAGTACAACTTAAGGACATGTTCACACAACGAGGCAAGATTGGATGCTTTTCAAAAGTAAATATTATTGTGGCAAACAAGGTTGGCTGAAAAGGATCTGCAAATATTGATAATGGATCCAGTAAACATTGAAGATAGCAATTTAAGCATGAAAGACAATGAAAAACTCTTTGATCCAACTACAGACTCAAAGTTTAGTTCTAGTCATCCTTATCAAGGCCTCCTTTTTGGCTGTCCATGAAAAATTCAATACTGAGAGAAAAATCTATGAAAACTTTGATTTCGTTTTCAACATGTTTGTGAGGAAAGACATTTTCATCTGTTACAGTAATGAAAACTGGGTGCAGGTTTCAGTTTAAAATTAAATCTATTCTCTGTCTTGCAGTGACGTCCTTGGAGACAAATATCCATAAAATTCACTCAAACAAACATAAACAATTATCACACTAACAACGTGTAAAACTTAAATATGCTGTAATTATTTTTTAAATAATTATACTACCTTAAATAATTTTGTTACCCTAAACAACCTTTAAAGATTTTATTATGATAAGCATTTTTAATTATATCAAATAAGTGCATAACTGAAATTCTTGTTAAGAAAATGCTAATTATTTTTAAAAATGTTTCAATTGTAAAAAAATAATTTAAGTGGTCCAACGGATTTAAAATGATAAATTTAGTGGTCCATGAGGTCTGAAAGGTTGGTAACTGCTGCGTTAAAGTATCCATCATCAAGTTTCCAGCCTTTTTATCATAAAAGAATATGACTGTGCACCTATTTTTTAGCAGGCCTTATTATCTATATAATTATGTGGTAATGAGTTATCAATAAATTTCTTAGTTGATAATATTTAAATAAAATGAATTATTTTGTATCCTTATAAAATATAGATTAAAACATGATAATTGCCTTTGTGTGAAGCACTAAATAAATTGCTATTACATTTCATAATAAACTATAGCCTCCCCTGGTAGTGGCAGTGCGGGAACACCATCTGAAATTGAATCAGCTCGTCCCTCTTCGGCTGGTGAAGAGGAACTTCAGCTGCAGCTGGCTTTAGCCATGAGTAAAGAGGAGCATGAAGAGCATGTCCGCAAGCAGAAATCAGATGACATCAAGTTACAGATGGCTATTGAACAGAGCAAAGAGCAAGCAAAAAATGTAAGTAAGAGATATGGTGAGCAATGAACATTAAAATCTTTGACCTAGGGTAATGGATTGAGATTATTGACTATGCATTCAATATAAATATTTATTGCAGGTTTAAATTTTAAACAAGATCAAAAAAATAAAAAAAATGTTTATCTTCAATAAACTTATGTTGCTATGGTAATGGAACTTTACTTTTGTGGCTTGTATTGACAAAGAGCTTCTCTTATCACTCCTATATTTGGCTAAGTTATAAAATTACCCGGTAAGCTATTATTAACAATTTGATTCATTGCAATATAACAAACTAACAAGCAACTACATTTTAACACTTGTTTATTATTTTAAAAATAATAATTTACTTGAGATTACTAATTTTAAAAAGAAAAAAAAAAGGAAAAGTTCAACTGAAATAAATATGAACCACAACAAAATTTCTTGTTTCTTTGGTTCTTTTTAAAATCTCAAGAGCATATTATAAATTTATGAAGATTATTGTTAAAATGTACATAATAAAAATATAATACTCTGGTATTGTGATTCTTAAAAAAGTATTTGGACTAATTTGAGTAAACAAGTTTTATATATGCTTTTATTCCAACTTTTTGCTTCATTAAACATATATCTAACAAGGCATCAACTTTTATTAATGTTCTTTCTCTGCTTTAGTATTGTGGTGATTGGTGCTTAAAACTATAAGAACTTGTCTCACAGACTCCACCTTGGTGTGCAAAGTAAATTGAACAAAATGAAAGAGTAACTAAGGAATCTTATTTAATACTATAGAAGGCACCAAAAAAAAATATTAAAAAAAAATTTGCTTAAATTTGTATTTTTTTTTTTTTTGGTCCTTTTTTGTGAGGTTTTGCGAATGAAATACCCAGCCTTTAAAAAATCCTCCATACTTCTAATACTATCTAAAACCACCCATCTAATCTTTTATAGTATTGTGGTGATTGGTGCTTAAAACTATAAAAACTTGTCTCACAGACTCCACCTTGGTGTGCAAAGTAAATTGAACAAAATGAAAAAGTAACTAAGGAATCTTATTTAATACTATAGAAGGCACCAAAAAAAAATATTAAAAAAAAATTTGCTTAAATTTGTATTTTTTTTTTTTTTGGTCCTTTTTTGTGAGGTTATGCGAATGAAATACCCAGCCTTTAAAAAATCCTCCATACTTCTAATACTATCTAAAACCACCCATCTAATCTTTTCCACTCATAGGACAGGAGGCGGCAACACCAGTTCTCCATAGTAAGCCATTGTGCTGTGTGTAAGAGTGGTCTTCTTTAAGCATGCCCTCTCACCTCTCCCATTTATGTCCTAGTTAGAGTAATGTTACTGCTAGTCGTGTTGTCCTAGCTAGTTCAATTTTAAGTCAATTGATCTTGCATCATGAGTTTGAGCCTAACATCTAGACATTTTGAATTAGTGGTATAAGATTAAACTGTAAATTACCCATAACTATTTACTTATAGAATTATATTTTTGTTATCAATTAAGAATACTTGTCTTGTTCAGTAGAGTCTGTTGATATTTAAATTTGTTTCATATACTTTTTTTTGAATCTTCAGGTACTTAGCGTTAAAGCGTTGAAAAAAAGATAATAACAATAATTTAAAGTTCTAAAAAATTACATGACCTTGCAGATGTTTCCATAAACTAATGGTTATAAGCATTTTACACAGATAAAGAAACTGGTTCTGATTGTTCTTGCTATTTGCCTATATATTGCTGTCTTTCTGTAACCCATGAGTTATCCAGTACTATATTATTTTTCTCCTTTGTTGATGTAAATATTGGTTCTAATTAAAGATAGTTTGCATTTAAAACAAAATAACTTTCTACAGAGTTCTGAAAATATCTTTTTATTATGTTGTTATATGATCATCTATTTTTCAATTTGATTTTATTCTGTTGAATTTTATACCAAGTTGCCTTTTAAAAAAATACAGTAAGGCTATCAAAATCTGACTAACATAAGAACTCGCTTTTTGCCATATGCATTCTCCATATCATCTGTTTTTCCGTTTTCTTTATTTGATACATTATATTTCTAATCTTTAGTTTAAAATTTTTGTACAGTTCTTTAAAGTTTTTTTTGTTAATAATCATGTCATTTAATTGAAATAAAAATAACTTTGAATCACTTCATCTGTGAAAAGAACAGTTTAACAAACAAATCAAGTTCTGAAATATTACATAGATCTGATTTAAACCATGTGTCATTGATTCAATTTCCTTTTTAGGGGAAAGCATTATACCAAAAAAACACCAATGACTTAATAAATATCATATCCCACCCTCCCTTGTGGCTGCAAAAGCTTTATAAAAATCAAATCCCACCCTTCCTCAAGGCTGCCTTATGTTCTAAAGAAAAAGTTAACCTTTTAACATAAGCTAACTTTCTCTAGAATTTGGTCATAGATATATCCCTATAAAATAAGAGATATTTAACCTTAATTTGAATTGGTTATTACATCTTGGTACCCACAAACAGATCAAAATAAAAATATGACAGATTTCAGTCAATCAGAATTATGGGAATATGTCTATTATATGAATTTGTAGGTAAAATATTTTGTGTGTGTGTTTTCTACCATTAAAAGATGGGTGAAAAAGAAGTAAAAATTGAGCACCTGATTTATTTTTAATGTTAGCTTTTAGGATATGTGAACCATGTAAATTAACTTTCCCCCCCATGACTTACGATTGTCTCCTTTCTTTTATTTTGAACAGAATTCCCAAGCAAGCACCCTTTTAGACTTGGCTGGACCAAGCACATCTGGAGCCGCCAGTAATGACCCGTGGGGTATGCCACTACCACCTGCAGATCCTTGGGCATCACCGCTCCCATCTAATCCTCCATCTGTGGACCAGTGGAGCTCCAGCGGGGCTGCAGGTGTCTCCAGACCTGCTGCCTACTCACCTGTTCAAGGGTCATCTGCAAGTGTCAGTGCTCATGTACCAGTCCAGCAAGATCCCTGGGGCATGTCTGTCAGTTCTCCTAGCCCCCAGCCAAGAGCAGGTGTGTTTCATTTGACTTATTTCTGCCCAATCATTTATGCACCACACTTTAAAACCTTCCTTTGATTGTTTGACCTTTTAAATTAGTTTTATTATCTCAAAATAGAGTTCAATTTAACATATAACTGAAATAAAATAACTAAGATTTGGTTGGTTAAAAAAGATTAATAAAATCTTTTTTTTTTATTCAGTAAAAATAATTTTGCCTCTGGTTTTTAAGTTGCACTGCAAATATTGCATTAAAATAAAACCCATATTAAATTAAAATTTATATGAAATTGAATTAAAGAGAAAAGGTAAGAGCTAGCAATTGGTTTAATGAACACAATTCTAGTTAATTACAGTCCAGGTTTGTGTTTTACTACCCTTTCCTACCCTTTTAAACAAAATATTTGTCTTTTGTCTTTGTTCCCACAATCCCTGTAATAGGGATCCACCCTATAACTTTATGTGAATAACTGATATAATCAGTCAACATGGTAAATTTGCTTGTTAATTATTATTTCTACCACAAAAATTAAATTCTTTCTTTATTACTTATGATGAGACTATAAATCTAGACTTGTCTATCTTTTTATTTAAAGCCTAGCATTTTAATGACTCCTGGCTTACTGATATGGCTTTACTCATTGCAATTAATATTGCTTAAAACTTTGTTTAAAATGACAACCTCCGACCACACAGTGAAATATCCCAGTAGAACCACTATCCAATGCTCCCTCCTCCATATCCTGAAATCTCTCACAGGTGCATGGTCAAGCACCAGTCCAACACCACAAGCATCAGCCTGGGGAGGTCAGTCTCCAACTCCACAACAGCAGCCAAAGCCTGCGTTGGATCCATTTGGGGTCCCGATAGGTACCATACCCAATGGAACTTCATCAACAAATAATATTGACACAGAGTTTGATCTGCTTAGTGCTCGTAGCACAGAAACTTCTCCAGCTAAATCTTCTGGGCTGGATGAATTTGATCTATTAGGTGAGTGTATTTCCTGGGTATTATTATGTGATCTATTAATTAAGTGTATTTCCAAGGTATTAATCATGTTATCTATTAAGTAAGTAAATTTCCTGGGTATTGTCATGTGATGTATATTAGCAGGAAGTGATCATTTTTCATTCTGGCTTTGTTGTATATTTGATATCCATAAGCTGAATTATTTACATACTTTTAAAACAAGGAATCCATTTTTAGAAACTTGAATTAATTTGATTGATCCCCTGGTAATTGACCAGCTACATAACTAAACAATGTAAATGTTTTATTTTATTTGGTAATATGGTCTAAAAATCAATTTTTAATGGATATAAACACTACTCTGAGAAGAAAGGTAAATTAAAGGTTGTTTAGAAATAGTCTGTTTACGGTTGAATGTGTTTTTAAATTTCATATTTTATCGGTAGGTGGATCTCACACCAATGGTTCAACAGGTGATGCTTTTAACCTGGATGGCCTCGATCAAAATTTACCTCAAAATAAAAAAAAGAGTGCAGAGGCTTTCCTTGGTGGCCACGCAAACCTGGTTAACTTAGACCAGCTTGTGTCTAAAGCGCCTCCGAAAGGTAACCGTTTTAAACAGTGCAGGTTTGATAATTAGTTGAGCATTCACAAGATTTTATGTTGATCTATTTTAATCCCTCTATTTTTGTTTCCCTGTTGCATGTGCTAATAAATGAGCATAATAATATTAATACAGTATTTATCATTTCCTTCCTCATTTTTTTGACCCTATTACATTATCCAACCTTCTATCCTCTCCATATCCACTATAAGCAAACTGCTCTTTGTTTTTAATTAAGTTTTTTTTTATTCTGTTTGTTTATGTAGATCAAAGCATAAAAAAGATATATCTTTGAAGCTGAAATTATTGTCATAAAATACTTCCTCAATGATTCCATATTTAAAAAAATTATCAAATACAGAATTTCGGTGGTGTTGATTTTTATTTATCAATGAATTTCTTTTTAAAAATAAAAATGTTTTTGATTAGTCCACATAATTAATTTTTACTGAGTAATTTTTGATTGAGTATCTTTTACTAAGTAGCATAAAGATTTAGAAGGGGTGTTAAATTTATTCTTCAAGTTTTAAAATATCTTTCAACAATTAAAGTACATTTTAAATGTATAAAGTATATATTTGGGATCTTTTTCTCTAGTTAAGTTTGCCTGGACTACACTTGTGTCAATGACCATTGTTTCTATTATATGTAAAATTTACCTCATTATTTGTTCTTTTGAATTTCAGGCAATAACCCATTTGCAATGACAACTGGTAATAGCAATCCTTTTCAAGACCCAAACTCTGGTATGAGAATGCCAATGGCCCAGATGGCCCCCACAACAGCTCCTGGTTTCATACAACCGGTCAGTGCTGGTCTGTTACCTGCCCCTTTGCTTCCACTGGGCTCTGCCCATGTTATGCAGCCTCAGTCCCAACAAGCTCAGGGTTACAACCCTTTCTTATGAAACTACTTGGTTCTGGTGTACAGCAGGATAATCTGGGACTTTCAGATTGTACAAAGAAAATTGGTTTTCACTTGACAAAGTCTGGAAATGTTAACCACCTTTCTGTCAATGTGGAGAGAACATCATGCAGCTCTTCATGGTTGGGGAATTCAAATACTGCATGTTGCAATGATAAGGTTTCATCAGAATAAATTATCAATGTGTAAGCAATGGAGTCATAGAGTAAATTCACTGAATGAATATCTGGATCATAGCATGGAAGAACTCATTCCCTGGCACTCTAGCCTGAAATATGGTGATTGATTTTGGGTTGTGGGCACTGGTTTGGTAGTCTGTCTAGTTTGAATCATGTCATAAGACAAAAGGGCTTGTGATGAGGCAAATTGTATCAACCTAAGATATCGCTAGTTGTTTCCCTTTTTCTAAACATTAGATTTTATCCTTAACTGTCTGAAATGAAAAAAAAAAAGCAACAACATGGTACACAGTTAAAAACTTATTAAAAATTATCAACTGCATGGACAATTACGTGAATGAAGACAAAATGTGTTATGCTAAAACCAAGATCCATACCATGCACTCAGTTGGTTTGACCGCGACAGATTTAATAAAATACCGTAACAATAATAGTTTCAAAGAGTTGTCCAAGAAGGTCAGCAAGCTACCTATGGAATTTGTTTTTGCGGAATTCGTTAAAGGGTTAATCCTATGAAACAAGCTATTATTCATTGACAGTTGTTTGCATTTGGAACCCATGCAGTATTAGAAATGTATTGTAAGGTGTGGTAGCTGATATTTTTCTAAAACTAATCAATTTCATTAAACTTTTCATGACTGAGAAAAAAAGTAAAATGAACTTAAAATTACTGATATATCTCAATTGATTAAACTAGAAATTGTTTTTAAAAACAATTTCATTTAAAAAAAGTCTGGCAGTTATACAGGTTCTTCTGTTTTGGATGAAATAAGATTTAACCCATTCCACTCTTGGCATGAGAGAGTATAGTCAAATAAACAGTTTCTATGTCCATAAATAACAAAGGAGGAGAAATCTGTTCAGACTAAACTGAATGTTCTAATGTTTAAGTTAACATTGAGCACTGAAATGTGCCATAAATTATATTCTGGGTTACATTCTGTGTGTTAAATCAAAAGTGTAACTATTTATAAAAGAACAAACTAAACATAAGGACTATTTTTGTACACTTGCAGCTTTGATATTTATTTAAATTTAAGGGTTTTAAGCAAATTTTTATATACCAAACTAAGAGTGTAACGGCTTAAAATGTGTTAAATATTTTTCTTAAGCACCATAGTTTTAGGATATGCTTAAGTTGACTGGTATTTGATCGTATCAATCAGATCTGTTTGAAAGTTGTCATTGTAGCATCAGCTATTGTGGTCTGTCAACCAGATGTCCACAACTTTTAGAAAACTCAGTCAAATGCAGTATTTTATTCTGATTCTTTATAGTGAGATCCAGGAAACCACTTTCAAATGTGAATTCACTGTGATTATTTATCAAAGTAATAATATGATACTACACAAAGGGTCTATCATCATTTCAGCTCATCATGTTTGGAAAAGGTCTTCTTTAAAAAGCCTTATAATAACTTATATAGAATTTTTACTTATGGTACTCATTAGTTTAGTATGGGCACTCCATATTCCAGTCATTATCCCAGGATATCAGTGGCTGATCTTTTTCATATTATTTTAAGACTTTGTTGCCTTTTTTTTTAACTTAGTTTATCCCCACTATAACGGGAGATGGATATATTATGAAATTTACATTTGTGATTTTTTTTTTTTAAACTCTCACCTATTTATGTTAATAGCTCTAGCACCATACCCATGAGTCATACTGAGAGCTATTCTCAGAATTTATCATTTTCTTTAATTTCCGAATGAAAAATGGTCATTTTTGTTTGTCATGAAAATGGAACAGCAATAACTCCATGTGCTTGTTGGTCTGTTTTAACTTGCAAGAAAATGACTATAAATGTGGTCAGATTTCCCTTGGACATTAACTCTGTTTAATATTTACATTGACAGTATTGTGAAAAGCACTGTGTACGTTGGCACCATGTTAGGCAACCTATCAAAAGGTTTTGTAAGGCATTAAATGAAAGAGTCAGAAATATCCATCAGAATGTGTGTAAAGTTACAGTAGGTTGTAGTGTCAGCTGCTTCTTATATAACTACATTCATGGTTCAGTTGTTTATGAACAATTGTGTATTTTGGTCAACCCTTCTAAGGCCTCTAGACCTGCTCCTGCTATGACATTGCTAAGGGTGGTATCATCACTGAAAGTTTTACAGTCCATGCTTGTCAACGGTACATAAACAACATTGGGCATCGTTTGAAAGATTTCTTGGAAAACATCTATCACCCTCTAACAAATGAAGAAAAGTCGCAATCACAAAACAAGAAAGGCTCTCTAGAATATTTATATCTCATTGTATGGTGTCATTGATTCATCTGCATGAGATGAATGATACCCGACTCTATCAATTAATCATTTTGTATATGAGACCCTGAAATTTTGATATGTACAGTTTGCTATGCATTGACGGATAAGTGCGAGTTAACTGATGGTATGTCAACTCAAAGGAGTCCTGGGTAAAACATTTGAATGCATGTGAAGTGTGAATGTGTGTAAAGTGATGCTGTTGCCATTTATTAAGTGCCACTATGGTTATGCAAATTGTATTATGTCACTACTGGTGGTCATGTTGGCTTGACATTTTGTAAGGGGATCATGTTGTTGTTTTTTTTTTGTGGGGGGGGGTCTATCTCAATGCTCCTCTCACAATATTATTATTAATTTTTTTTTTATATCTCATAATGTCCTTAAGATTTGTGTCCAGTATATTTCCTGAAGTGTGTCATTCAGCCTCTGCTACACTTCTCAGTATCAAGCTTTAGTTGTTAACTACAGCCGAGTCCATTTCTACACAGTTGTTTGCTTAATAGATTAAGTTTTCTTTTACAAAAGAGACACTCATAATTACAGTTATTAAAATAAAGTGCATTACAACATGACTGGAGTTTGAGGTACCGTACCTACATGACAATGTTAATTATATAAAATAGTAGTTCGGTGTTAATATTTCATTAAGAAATAACAAAGATTGTGTTACATTAAATGACTATACTTTACATATATTCCATTACCCGGTACATTACAATGTTTACTACTATAAAAATCTAGATGTCTTTGAATTAGATTTATTAAATCAGGCTGCATTTATGGGTTTTTCAAATATTACTGTATTGTGTTTCAAATGCCTATCATACTTGTCAGCATGACCATACCTATTACAATATATGAAGATTTCAGATATGTTATTGTAGCTAACATCACATCACATTTCTGGTGTTGTGTCATAACAATTAACTTCCTGTCTAAAGGTATTATGGTCAACTGAACTTTACTAACCCATGGAAAACTTGGTGGAATTATTGTAGATTTTTTATTTTATTTTTTTTAAAACAGCCATCTTTCATGTGACCTGTCCTCTACCCAATTGTTCTGGGTTGCACATACACATGAAAATTAAAGTCACTCCAACTCAGCTTATATACTGAATCCTCCATTTTTTGGCTGTGTAGTATTTGCCAAGTTGCCTTGTTATTTTCACCTCACATTTGAGTAGCTAATTTAATTTGAGCCATAAAAAAAAAATTTGTAAAATAACAATAAATGTACAATCACTGTAAACCACGAAGTCATATTACTCTCATATCCAAAAAATATAAATGCAGCAAAATAATCTGTTTAAAAAAAAACAAAAAAACAAAGTGGCTCCAAAGCAATTTAATAAATGCAAGTATATTACCAGCATTGTATGTAAGCCTTTGTCTTTATTTAGATGAACTGAATCACTAATTTATTAAAATACAGAGAGGTTTTTGTGTATTTCTTTAAGAAAGTCTCAAACTGCAGTTTGGTTCAACTTGAAATATAATTCTGTCTGCCTTATACTGTAGGCATGTACATTAGATAGCCAATATTTTACATTAAATGGCTTTAAAACAAATACTTTTTTTGTAAAGGAAAATCTTTATAGCTTAACAAATTTTTAATAAAGAAAATAATTTTTTTTAAAATTGTTGCATGCATTTCTTCTTTGTAGAATACACAGTAACATGATTTGGCATTAGAATGATCAAGACGAAGCTATCCATTAACCCCATTACAGCCTTTTTTTTATTTAAAAAAGACCAGACCTTACAGGATGACATTACATGTGTTTGTTACAGGACCTAAATCATATTCTTTTCTGATAGGACGTGACCAAAAAATTGCCTGTCAAATGTTGACCAAGTAGGTTCAAATCTTGTTTGTTGTTGTGCAGGTAACTAAACCATTACGCTTTCAATGTCTTTGAAATTTCTACTTCTCTGAAATTAACAATAATCAGTAGTTGATCAATGCCAAACTTTAAGCTCATCTAGAAAACATTGTTGTCTTCATCGCTCATTATAATGGTCACATTTATTACATTATCTTTGTATTGGAGTTTTCAAATTAATGAAGGACTTTTTATTCAAATATTCTCAAATAAAAAAATGTATCATATGCCAGGTTTGTTGTGTTCATTGTCTGACCTTGCACTGAACTGTAAACAACATGCCCGCCTTCACCTGCCAATACTAGTTTCTAATGGAGAGCAATCTACACTAGATACAAGTTGTTGTAATAGGAACATGGTCTGATTACATCAACCTTTTCCAGCAACATGATGAAATTAGTTTGATGCAACATTAAAGCACCAAAATTACCTTAGTTTCTCTTAAGCTGTGGGAAAAAAAATCTCTGGGTGGTGATTGTTGATCCCTGTATCAATATTCAAAGGATATCCTTTACTTTATACTTTCAGAAAATTGGAAGGGCCAATGGGTGTTTCAGAACTAAGATTTGTGTATGGTTTCAATCATTGGCTTATTTTAAAACATGGGTAGAGATGGTACTTTAAAAATAACACTTCAATTAACAGTATTTTACTTATTTGAGTGTTTTTATTTGACGAGGTAGTATTTTTTGTGGAAAGATTAAAATAATTAAATGCTTTAAACTATGGTAAAGTCTGCAAGTTTTCATATCATTTAACATAATATATTTGCATATATCACTGATATTGGGTTGTTAATAAGTGAAAAACTTTGGTATGGATCAGGAGTGAACAACCTGTGGTCTGCATGCTGACCGACAAGTCAGAGTACTTACTATCTCAATTTAATCTACACAATTTACAATAAATTAAAAATAAAATTGTGGAATATATCCAACTTTATAAATATATTTATAACTTTCCTAAAGAAGACGTTTCAAAAAGATTAAATGAGGCACCGCTGCACTTGTACCCTTGAGTAAATTTGTTACCATCAGAAAACAATTTCTTTAACATTCGTGGGAACATGTTTCAAATATGGCTTATTGAACACACTTAAGGAGTGATAAATTCAAATAATATTTTATATAACACTTGCCTAACATCTATAAAATATCCTAATTTAAGGTAATGAGCACAAAGAATTAGTAGTGTCTTTGGCTTCACTCATTTTGTGAAGCAATTTTTTTTCTAAAAAAAAATCAATTATGTCGTGAAACTTACAAAATCAAGTGAGTAAGATGTCTAAAAAAGACATATAGTAATACTATTAGTATAGATTTTTAAAAAAATATAAGTGAGAGAAAGCTTTAAAAATATATTAAGTTTTATTTTGCATTTCATTATGTGCATTGAATAATAAATATGTGTATTGCTTATTTGAAGAATATTTATTATGAGTTATGACATGCATACTGCGTGAACCCAGATATAAATGGCAGTGAGGCCATTAGGGTTGGCCATCTTTGTGACTTTGTGTAGAGGAACACACAAAAATAAAAAAATAAGATAAGTACAATAAGTGCTCTATTACTATCAAAGCTTTCTAACAACTTCCTGTCTTTATAGAACTAGAATATTGCTGAAATTTTGGTTCAATGTACTAAAATTAAATATTAACTTGTTTAAATCTGTTGACATTCCTCTTGCTGTACTCTCAGATACTACGACGTTGCAGTTTATTGTTTATTTTTGTTTCATATTGTTTTTACTGTTGTTTGTTCTCTGATTAAAGTTAGTTGTTTAGTTGCATCCTTTTTTTCAGGTTTTCCCATACTTTGTTTCTGTTTCACTCATTTCCTTTTATTTAATTCTGCAATCACAAGTTTTCAGTGATACGAGGCTTGCCCTTGATTTAAGGGTCAGGTATTTTAAAGAAAGTAATTCGGCAAAATTTTAAAAGTTAAAGTAACAGGGTGTTCCTCCTGGAATGACTTAGTTTATTTTATGAATGCTATTATACAAATTATTTAGTTAATGAAAGAAGTTGGCAATTTGAGATACATTGTTTGACTCCAAAAACTATAAAATGTTAATTAAACAGAAGGTTTGGTGTAATGGTAATTGTTTTAAAAATGTCTTCAACCTGCAAAAAATTTTTTTTTACAAATTCTCTTTTTAAAAAATGACACAAATACAATAAATAAAAATCTTTTTATTTTATCCACAGAATTAAAGTATTTTTAATCTGTTGACAATATTAGTTGATCCATATTCATTTTCCTAAATTTAAAATATCATATCCACAATATTAGTTGATCCATATTCATTTTCCTAAATTTAAAATATATCTAATTTTTATTAAGATTAGCTTTAGTGTATGGACTTTGGTCTATGGAATCCATCTGTGATTATTGGGATTTCAAGGGTCTTGAGCAGATATTCTTTCTCTATAGAGTCATTCACAGTCCATATCACCATACGGACACCAAGGCTGTCCCAAAACTTTTTGTTATCACTGAAAAACATTTAATAACACTTATTACATGCACTGCCATTATTTTCTCAAGTGTACACCTAATGAATCAGTACGTCTTTTAATAAATTGTACACTCCCTCCACCTGATCCAAAGTTGTGTAAAGAAGAGTAGCTTGCCCATGAATGACCCCCAATTTTTTTAAAATTCCGGTTGGTTCCATGTTTGTTGTTTCTACACTCAATTCTAATAAATTAATTTTTATTAAGTTTAAATAGTATACTTACAATGTGAATAATTTATTTTCTTTCAATTAATGGGTTAGGATATATTATTATTATAACAGCACTATAATTATAATTTTAGTTGTTATTCTTAAGGCCAGATGCAATCAAGGAATTAGGTACCGGTAATTTATTTTAATATTAGGTGGTATGCATGTTTGGATGATGATTATTAACTCGGGACTACCTGACAGAGAATAATATCCATTTTTGTGAAAAAAATCCATTCGATTTGCCTTTTTCATTTTTCAAAATTAAAAATAATAATAACATTTATTTGATAATGCACCAGCAGCTGGATGACCATATGAAAGAAAGAAGATGCTTGTTATGCTGCTGGCATCCTAAGTGCTTTTGTTTGACCAGGCTTAATGATAATAAAGGCTTTTAAGGGGCCATCCACAAAGCTATGTCATGCTATTTTTTTTACATCACATGATCTAACCCCCCACCCCAGTCCCAAACTGTCACACTTTCTTAGACCCTCATCTTCTCCCAAGCGTGACATTCTTTATGGATGACCCCTAAATAAATGACATAAAGAAAAGTAATGAACAAAAACTACTTACAAACTAACATTATCCTTGCAGCACAAGAAGAAAGAATTGCCACAAAAATACCACAGGAATGACCAGTGGGCCCAGGAAAGTAGAATGTCAAGCCATGGTGCAATCAATTTCTTCCATAATTCTTTATTTCGATCTATCCCACCTCCAAGTTGACTCAGAATAAAATTACGATGAGTCAGACCTGTCAGAATGTTTGGGTCTGCCTTGCGCACCTAAATAACATGGAGAGTTGTAAGAGGAATGATAAACATAGACTATTTTTTTTACAGAACTAATACATTTTCCTTTGGATTTTACTGTATGTTGTTTTGTACAGGATTACATCAACAATAAAATATTTAATCTACAAAATAATAATTAGAGTTGTATTTTATGCTTCTAATACATTCTGAAAGATCAAATAATATATTTATATGAAGGCTCTAGTTTGCAAGCTTAATAAGAGTTATTTACTGTATCTTTTTGTGCATAAAAATATGAGCAAATTAGAAAATAAACATTGAAACAAAACAGATTTGTCTAACCCACAATATTTTGTCAAAACCTTAAACAGTAAATATGAATCCTTATTACCGAGTACCAAGGAAATTTTATTCATTTTTTAAAATAAAACATTTTATCATAGACATAGTACAATTAAAAGATTTAATATAACATAAAACAACTTACAGCATAAATGATTGTTGGATAAAAAGAACAGACGATTCCTAAGTCATACAACTTTGGGTACTTCTGATAGAGTTTCCCAATGAGATCAGCAGTCTATCAATAAAGAGATTTGAAATGAAATCTTCTTTGCCTAAGGTATATGTTAACAGTTAAAAGATGATATCTTGTGTTATTATATTATTTCTAAGGTTCAAAGCACCTGTTGTTTTAATATAATTAATGATAAATAAAAAAACAATTTTGTGGGTTAAGAAAATGTTTAAAAAGGAGCTGATTAATTCTAATTCTATTTAGCTTAAACTGACCTTTGATGGATTACTTTTACAATCTATGAAGACAACCAGCTTATGTCTGATGCATAATTCAATGCAAGATTCAAGTGTTGGTACACAGGCTGCTGGAAATTCATCCCTAAAATATTATTGAATTCAATCAAGAAAATTTTTTAATCCCTAATCATTTTAAAATAATAATTTGTTGTAATGTATTATACTTATACTGTTGAAATAATAAAATATTAAATCTTAATTTTAAAAAAGCTAACAGTGCATAAGAACATTTGTGTTTGATCATAAATAAAATAAAAAACTAACGGCTGTGTCTAGTGACCTGTTTGGAAATTTGGCAGCGGCATTAAGACTTTGAATCTGCTCAAGTGTGTGGTCCGAAACTAAGCCTTTACCATCCGTTGTTTCATCTACAGTTGGACCATGAATTAAGACACCTACTCCATCTTTTGTAAAATCAAGATCAACCTCCACAGATGAAACACCCAATTTGACGGCCTGGAAGTGGTTGCATGATTTATGACAATTACAGTATAAACATTTCAGATGGGTCATTAAAACAAATATTACTTTCTAAAATTTATATAGGAATACCTGGCCAATAAAAGGTATCCTTATTTTAAGAGTGAAAGCATCCATAGAGCAGATTTAATACTAGATTACAGCTTGAAAATGCATTGAAAATGTTAAGTCTAAATAAATATGCTAGAAAGTGGAATAGTAGGCTACCAAATATGTTCCAGTTTTAACTTTTGCAAAGAGCATATGCCATACTTTTCCCAAAATGGTATTTACTTTCTGCCTAAAACACATTGGTAATTAATTCACAATGAAGGTACCAAAAGGCAGGCTGTTCACAGGTTGACCAAGACTGAGATAAAATGATGACACATTTACATAAGCTGGGGGTCCAACCAAAAGCCATTATTTGGTCTGAGTAGAAGGATGTGGTGCAGCAGACCAGGGCCCTACATGGGTTGTAGTGTCATTGATGGAAGTGATAATCAAGATTATCCATTTTGGGTACCTGTTCTATTTTAAATGACATTATCCACCATAGTCAATAGCTATCAAGTCCAAAAAAGAGTGCTGCATAGCTGAGTGGTATAAACTTCCAAAGGAAGGTGCTGAGTGGTATAACCTGAGTTAATCCCTAGTTAAAAAGGACTCCAGTTCAATCCGTAGAAAAAACATCACCAGCACCCCGGATGGATGGCAACTCGTCTAAGAGAAGGCAAACTATGAAATCAACTCTGGAGATTCCAGAACACATAAAGAGCACAGTCAAAAACATTAGACACTGCTGTACACCTACTGCATCCTGATCTATTTCTAGTCATCTTGACTCAGCCTTGCCATTGGAACAAATAGACAAGAAGGATAAGAGAGTGAGGCTGTCAACTGAGTTACTTTCCCTAACTTTAAACAAAATACAGCTCAAGTCAAGGCTACTACTCAAGTCGAAAATTGCCTTCATTATCTTTGCGTGCGAAAGACTATCAATAAGTCCAAAGAAAAACGGTCAAGATTAAGCATATGATTCCCCAGTCATTAAAAAACAATAATGTTAGTTTCACATACCTGTTCAATAGCCTCCAATGTGTTTTCTGGAGCATGAAATGCACCCCCTTTATGAAAAATTGTATTTTTTAGCACATTATTTTTGTCTAGTTTGAACAGGTTATGTATATTTTCACTGATCTTGCTTTCATCAATACGAGGGATTTTCATAAAATGTACAGCTATGACCAGGAATGTTGAAATTAAGAGTGTCAAGGCAGATGAAAGAAATATATTTATTATCAATGTTAGCAATGTGAAATTGCCTACAAAAATTATCGTTCTGTTAGACACAGGCATGATAGAATTTTTGGATCTGAAAAAAAAGAAACAACATAATTTGTTACGGTACTTAAATAAACACTAAACAGCAAAATAGTAAAATTTTCCTCGCATTTAGAAATAAAATACCGGTAATATATCAAATATAAAAATATATTAATTTTTAGAAGAAAATTTATCAAAACCATGCAATAAATGGTTTAATTCTTTGCTCAAATAAAATAAAACACATTCAAAAGAATTTAATCCCTTCCCATTTGATATTGCACTATCGGTATGAGGAAAGAACTGTTTTTGCCTACCACTACCAACTATGATGAAAGAACTGTTTATTCCTACCAAAATTAACATAATGAGACATAAATTATTTTTTAAAATACTGACATTTTATTAAAAATTTCCAAAAAAAATTATGGAATACACAACGGAACAATCAGCAATATTGAAAAATAATAAGGCCTTTACTATCCAGGGATGGCCAAGTTTGCCTACTAAGGTGTTAGAGTTTAGAGGCATTAAATACTCCAGTTCCAGGTCCCATTTTCAAAGAATAGACGGGATCCTATTAACAAGACAGATGATAAATTTTTTAGGTCTAGGTCAAATAACAGACAACTAAAAATTACCACACATGTATTAGATCAGCAAGTAATCATAAGTAGGCCTTTTATCTGGGCCATTGACCTTCTAAATTTTTTTTTCTCAATTATAATAAGTTACTTTAAAAAAAAATTAATTAGTTGTTTTTTTTAAAATTGTAAGTGGCCTATATATGAGTAGCTTTTTTATCCTCTATTAATTTTCTTATGGCAAACAAAATTACAACATGTGATATTTAATGTGGTTAATTTACACAGAGATTAATTTAATTTAAAAGGCATAAGCTAAAATTTTTAAAAAGCAATCATTCTAAACTATCTGGGGCAACAACAATGAGTGGCATTGCGGAACAAATAGCCTATTGTATTTGAGCAAAGCACCTCCTGTGTTTGGCCACTGTAAATATGTAGTTCCTAATTCTAAATGAGTAAGTTTATTCGTTAACATTGATTATTGAGGCTTTTAAATTTATTGAAATTGGTAGGGTTGGGGGGAGGGGGGGGGGAGGGGCGCATCATTTTGCTTCTACAAAATCGGGTCATTGCTCAGGTTGAGAAGTTGTGCTATATAATGGAGGATGGAAATAATATTTAATTATGCCTAGCCCTATAAAATATAGGTCCCTTATCATCAACATCATGATAATCATTTCATTTTGACGAAACGACTGGCACAAACGTGGCCAGTTAAATCAACGTTGATTATTGTCAATTGACATAGAAAGAGTTTAGCTATCTGGTACTGTGTTGGGTACTACATTTTTTACATGACTGACACTGATCTCATGACAACAAAGATTGCAGCCATGTCAAAAAAGTAGTGAAGTACCCAACTGTTGATTCGGGGGGAAAAGGTGGTATCGAATAGCGTAAATTAAAGATGGTATTATTCATTAAATTATTAATTAATACTAATACTAAGACAGCATGCACTATATTATACTAATACTGTATAGTATAGTCATAGTCTATGCAGACATGGACAGCTACAAAAATTTTAGGCTTAGGAGTAGGAGACATTATTCATTATGGTACTTCCATATTAATTCACCGCAAAACTTATCGTTACTTCAATTCTATTCTTTGCAGCTATATCCGGTTTAATAAATAAAACTGCTTCTATAGTCCTTTCAGATCAATGGAGAGCATGTAATGCAATTGCCCCCACCTCCAGGATTGACTCATCAAACGGTCAATCATTCCGTTAACTTTGTGGATCCAAACTCAGGTGACAATACTCAACACATTGAACGTACATGGAAATCAGCAAAAGAGAGAAACAAGCGCTATGATGGCACACACAGACATATGCTCAATTCTTATATGTGTGAGTTCATGTGGCTTCGACGTGTTGAAGCAAATGGTTTGAATATCTTCAACGCCATTCTTGACAATATTGTTCAACTTTGGCCACCACAGTAGCAGAGGACTTTTAAAGAAGTAAATACCATATGTTTTTATTCAAAAGATCATTTGTTTTATTAGTTAAGTGTTTCAATGGAAATATGAAATAATGTATTATAATTTTTTGCGTTTAATTAAAAGTTTTTATTCAAAAGAAAATTTCTTTTATTGAAATTATGAATAATATTTTTTACGGTGAATTAAAATTGAAGTACCGACATTACTTACTGTACTGTAATGAGTAATTAGTAATGACATTACAGTATACAGTACAGTAATGACAGTAATGTACAAAAACATGACATTGACATCATTATTGACATAACATGATTGTGAACGGAAAATGATTTGGTTGTATTTTCATTGTGATTGAATTGTATAATGAATAAAATTATAATGTATATTATTGTTGAATAAAATAGAACACTTATTTACACTTACACAAGAATTCAATTAAATTTGTCTCCAAGTCTATAGTCTATTGACTATTGTCTATCATTCAGAAAACACCATTGGCCATTGACATTGACCTTCTCATAATTTTATTTAGTTGAATTTTACTTTATCACTTATTTAAGATTAAGAATCTGTAAGAATTAGTGAATAGTATAGTATATTTATACTATAGTATAAATAGTGAATAGGCCATTATTATTATTGATGTAATTAGTCCATAGTTACCATTGACCATACCATAGGCATGGGCCTACGGCTATAGACTATAACTATAGGCTATGGGCACTCCTCGGGACGGTGGTAAAGTCGGTAAAGTAGTAAGTAGGCTTTCTCTGTCTCTACTGTTCAATTTTTATTTTAAGTAATTAAAGTGACATACTATGATTAAATATTAAACTAGACTAACAGGCTTTATCTTTAAAGATACTGGTTTCTAAATTCTATAGGCCAAATAATAATAATTGATTCTAATGTGGCAGATTCAACTTTAAAAAATGTTTGTGCATTGGACATTGACTCATCAACTTGATTTGTTTCCATTGTGTACCTTTTCATGTGTTTCAAAAGTCGAAACAGGATTACAACGAAACGAAGAACACGGCGAAAATACACATTTTTCGATGACGTCGATAATCCAGTAGCCCTGCCCTACTTCTTGTGGAACCCCGCAATAGCGTGACAATATCATCATCACTATGAGTCCATAAATCGGAACGCCTTTAAATAGCGAGGTTTTACATTTGATGTGATTTTTCAAAACAAGGAATAGGTACTTTGATGGAAGATTTTGTAACCGGATTTTATAATATGTTGAATTATGTTGGCTTTTTTTTTATTGTTGGTCTCTCGACTTGTGATTAGTCTCTATGTGGCGTGTTGAGGTCGGACAAGTTAAATCCTAATAACTGTACGCGTATCTCACTTTTCTAGGTAGCCTACTTATATAATGGTTTAATATAACTTCACTTTAAATAAATTTAAATGAAAGTAAATTTACGTCCACGCCGTACGTCACCGCACCAAAGTGTGTTCATCGTATGACCAATGTATATCGGTGAATTCCCGGTGGAACACAAACAACACACGTCATCTCATTAAAACCTTTCCTCATCCCCAAAAATTTCCTTAGACCACACGAATCTCCGGATCCAGTCATTTCCCATGCCCATGACCCAAAAAGGCCTTTCTTCCGCACAGTGGCGACGCTACACCAGGTCCCGCCGGGTCCCAGGACCTAGTAAAAAAAAACTTGGGACCTGGCAAATGACCTGGTAAATTTTTATTAGTTACTAATATTGTAGATATGCTCATTAAGCGTAAACTACATTACATGTGAGAGAACTTCCATAAATTTTATTTTTAATACATTCATTTGGGACCCGCCAAAATTTTTTAAGACCTGCAAGGGACCCGCCATGTCAAATTTGATGGCGTCGTCACTGCTTCCGTACCACACAATCTCAGGAACACAAAAAACGGCAATCCTCCGAAGTCCGGTCCCAAATTATTCAGTGTGCATTGTTAGAAAACAGCAGAAATGTCATTCATGGCTTTGCAAATAACTGTCAGTTTACAAACCAGTCAGTAAATACTAAATATTGTATTTGTAATTGGCACATAACATTTGCAAATAGCCGAAAACGTTCTGTTGAGAGCGACTAGTACCACTCTGATAGCGACTAGTACCATTGCCCTCTGATAGCGACTAGTACCACTCTGATAGCAACTAGTACCACTCTGATAGCGACTAGTACCACTCTGATAGCGACTAGTACCACTCTGATGGCGGAGTTTACGTTTCGCTTGCATCCAAAGTCCTTCAATAATTTATGTGTGAATGTCCTGGTCTACTGGGTCAACAAATTCACGCGCGTGCACAGTGACAGCGTGAGCATAAATCCCGTTGTTGAGCTGACCGACATTTTGATATCCTCACCCATCGTCCGTGATGGTAGCTGTCCCTGGTAACACGACATGATTAGTGATAATGCGCTCTAGCGTTTGTGCATCTCGACGGCCGATAACCTCCATCCAACATCGTCCACTGCCGCAAACATGAATTTCAAAACAGAATGATGCCCAAGACTTTTAAGTAAGGAGTAATCATTGGAAATAATTTGCGACCGGACTTCGGAGGATTGCCCAAAAAACATATCAAAAGGGGTCGTCCATTAATTATCAACAAAATAGGGTGGGGGTGGAAATGTTTGACAACTTTTGTCAAAGGGGAAAGGGGAAGGGGTTAGATTAGTTGACGTCAACAATCATGTTTCTCTATTAATCTTTTCATCATAAAATTTATTGGTTACTACATTATTTTTAACAAAGTATATGAGTGGAAATTAAAATAGTTACATAACTTTTAGGTTTTTAACAATATACGATTTATTTAATGCGTGTCTGTCTGTGCACTGCAGATAGCTGGTCAGAATGTTAGTACACTTTGTTAGTGCAAGAGAAGTCAAAAGTTGGCCTCTCTTCGCCTGTAGATTCTGTTTTTCAAGGTTCAAGTGTCATGTGCGGTCAAGATAAACGATATTGATGGAGTAGGAATATTATATTTTGAGAATTAGGGGAAAGTAAAGTGAGTAACAATAATAACATCGCTGCTTGAACGGCTTTGAAAAATCTGTAACGCCTATTTTGCATAACAAGTCATGTTGAAATAAAATGGTCAACGGCACCGACAATGCCCTCTTCAGCATAAGAAATGACCACCTGCTCCTGAACAAAAAAGGATTCGACTAATGCAAGTAGCTGCCAGGAGACAAAGGGAGCTTATGGCAATTATTGCTCACACTGACAATGCTTCTATTTTAAGCGCTGAATGGTTAGATGAGGATGATGTTGACTTGTCTGGTATATCAGTTCTTCAAGTTGAAAATGATAAACCAGCTACTATACCCATTTTTATGATAGAGCAACACCTGGCTACTCCATGGGAAGACTATAGCTGCAAGAAACTATACCACAATTGTCATCTATAATGACATTAATCATATTTCTACTTCCACAAACAATGATATTAAGTCTTTAACAACATTTTCATTGATTCTGCATTATAAAATTTAAGAGCAAAAACTTTTAAACTTTTTGATTAACAAGCTGAAGATGCAATAAAATGTTTCTCTAACAATTTTGTATCATTAAAATAGATCAGCACAAAGTCAAATGTATTTATATATATTTCTTTATATTATAATTCATATTTTTTGGGGGGAGACATAAAATTATTGACATAATTACTTAGGGGAGGGGGTCATTTAAAGTTTGACTGTTGTTGACATGGGGGGAGGGGGTGACACAAATGACTTGGGGCGAGGGTACAGGACAGAGCTCCATTGTGGTTAAGATAACTTATTGGATGGAAGGAAATTGATGTTAGGTTATGGATGGCATTGTTAAGGGGTGAGGTCAAGGTTAATAGATTGTCGCATCTTGAGTTAGAGGAAATTGTTTCTTTCCATGATTTCGCATGCCAATTTTTGGAATAACAACGGGAAGTTCTAACTGACCGGAAATTAGAGGGCAGTGGTGTGTTTATAGACAGCATGCCTGGGCCACCTATGGGGGTAGAGAATCGCATATAATGCAGAACTTTCTTGAAGTTAGGAAGAATTGAGGAAGAGAGAGAAAAGAGCTTAGAGAGCAGTTGATAGGGAATAGTCGCAAGAGATCAGCAGACGTGTTGACTAGTTGAACATAGGAATAGTTGAGACGAAACAGATTAGAGAGTCATAGCTGTAGAGATAGATAGGTGACAGTTAGCGGCAACAATAGAAGAACTTCTTATCTTAGAAACAAACACATCTTCATCATCTGGACACCTGGAGTGTGAGTTGTTAAGTGTTCCTTGAAGTCTACTTTGTGCTTTGTCTGTACCAACGCCTAAGACACCCACAATATAAATCACAGAGAGGAGCGGTCCTGCACTGAACACTACTACATCAATACAGTTTGTGATAAGTCAGGACCGGAGCCCTACTCCGTAACAACCGTTCTGTGACAGGGGGTCAAATATGATTTAAAATTGTTGACGTAATTAATGGACGCCCCCCAAACATCCTTTCTTATTACCGACATCTCGCCACCTATGACAAACAACATCGCATTGCTACAGCTAGGATTAGCATAGAGTCTGAAGATACATAAAACAGATTAAATAGCCCAAGACTCGGTTAGGTCTGCGCCTTTCAGTGTTTTAAAAAACGCTAAGTAACAGAAGGTTAGGTGTAAAGTAAAATTCGACGGTTTCATGTAACATTTATTTGGTAGCATACTGTCTACCGTAGACGTCAACCCTGCACAAACTATTGGATCTGTCAACCCTGCACAAACTATTGGATCTGTCAACCCTGCACAAACTATTGGATCTGTCAACCCTGCACAAACTATTGGATCTGTCAACCCTGCACAAACTATTGGATCTGTCAACCCTGCAAAAACTATTGGATCTGTCAACCCTGCACAAACTATTGGATCTGTCAACCCTGCAAAAACTATTGGATCTGTCAACCCTGCAGAAACTATTGGATCTGTCAATATTTACACATTTCATACTTCCGTAACGAACAATCATGATGGATCTTAGCACATCAGAGAGTAGGTATATGTGATATGCCATTATTCATGATATAGTTCTACTCGGAACGTCAATACTCTCCACGACATTTTTGGTTAATTTGGTAGATTTGATCGTGACTGATAAAGTTTGGACTCGAGTGGGCTACTGTTAAACCAGTTTTTTTTTGTTTTTTTGTTGTTAAGACCATTGTAAACAGTTAGGCTATAATTACTACTAACTCCATAGAAGTTACGAGCTTGTTCATTAGTGTTGATATAAGGTTTTTAAGTTTGACACATTTCCGCCTATTCACTCTACCGTGATAAGCTCAAAGATAAGTGCAGGAAACAAGTTACCAAGATGTCTTGAGCAATTTTTTTACACTGTTTATTAAGCTGACTTCTTGTGTGAATGGTTCCACGCGAAGGTATTCGGGCATTTGAAGTCACGTTATATAAATAAATTAAATATAAAATAAGTATTTATGTTGGCATGGTTATATACTCAGTCACGTGACCATTGGCGTAGCTACACGGGTCTGGCCCTGGGTTCCGACCTAGAGGATAGGACCACAGTCTCGTTGGTTTGGATAGGACCCCCACGGTCTCGTATGTTTTGATAGGACCACAGTCTCATAGGTTTGGATAGGGTCGCAATCTCATGGGACTGAATAGGGCCACGATCTTGCATGATTGGATAGGACCACAATCTCGTAGGATTGGATAGGGCCACAATCTCGTAGGTTTGGATAGGGCCAAAATCTCGTAGGTTTGGATAGGGGCACCTTAAAAAAGGCTCACGGGGGTCAATAGCCGAATCATTTTGACCTCCCAACGCCCCTTAAACATCACCGGCGATCATAGTTAGATAAAGTGATCAAGGGCTGAGTCATTTTGTTTAGTCCTATACGGCCTAGACCCAATTTGAAGACTCATTACCAACATGGACATTATGTAGGCCTTTTGTGCAATGGACGCGACGATGCACAATGAATGAATAAACGGTTAAATAAGTGCATGTTTAGCTATTAGTGGCATATTTCTTTATCATTATAGAAATAATTCCGTCAGGTTTGAGTAAATAAATCTTAAAATAAAGAATGTAATATGTCGAGGATATGATAGTGGCCGTCGCCATAGAAGGCGT